AGCCTGAGCGTCTCGTAGGCGCCACGGCTTCTACTGCGACTTGAGCGCTTTTGAGTGATCCCTCTCCCCGTTTCCCTCCTTTCTTCTCCGTCTTTTCCGCCCCTCCTCCTCCTGGTCCGGCTGACTGAACCCTTCGTGCCACGGCCCGGCGAGAGTAGCCGCCTCACGTGCTTTATATCGCGGCAGGGCGGGATCATATCGTGATAACAGCATCCACTTTTTCTTGCATGTGGATTTTGTGAATGATGCATTTCTTGTAGCTTCTGTAATTAGTTGGTCAGATGCAGGATGGATGATGAATTTACAATACGGGGTGTGCTACTGGAGAAAACAGTATACAAAAGTTTGGTCAATGTTTCTTTTCCTGTTTCTTCAAAACAGACGTGACTTACTGTTTTTCTCACTTTTTTCTTGCATTCTGGAACACTGGAGACATAAAACTAGTGATAGCTTGTGTGATGATGTTGACATAATCGGAATTTATTTTGCAGTTCCCCTTTACCCCCCCTCCCCCCGTTTAGTAAAAACACAGCTTCATTTCAGCTGCTTTATGCACGTGTGCTGTGTACCTGTTCTGTAAAGGATATTCTAAATAGAGCCTGTAAGAGTGGACTCTATTATTTGTAAAGTGAAAATAAGATTTAAGTGTCTTGGATGTATAGACTGTTTTTTCTTTCTCTGTTATTCAAACAACAACAGAAAACCCAAATCAGTTTTCTTGGTCTGAGATACTCTTTGTGGCCTTATTAAACTTGCAGATGAACCTTCCTTGTAGGCTTCTCTACTTAATGCTTCTTAGCAGTGCATATGTATGAAGTATTAGAGATGTTTATCACTTAGATACTAGTCACATACTAAAAACAGTTCTTAAGCTTAATGCATGCTGTGGCAGATTCCTAAATAACTAAATTGGAAATAGTATTCTGGCCATTTACCCATAACCTAATGTTCCACAAAGAGTCTTAAAAAAAATTACTTCATGAGTGCTTCAAAAACACCTTTGTGGTGATTCTAATATATAAGGCTAGAATAATGAACTTCTGGATGTAATATGTCCCTTAAGCCGGGTTAGGTGGTTGCTTTGGTGTTGTGGGTCTGGTGGGGTTTTTTCCCATTACTAATGGGTCATTAGCCACTAAGACATAGTAGTGCTTTAGTAGCGTAAAATGCATTCTATAGGAAAATTAGTTTACGAAATTATTTTTCCATGACAGAGAGCTATTGCTTCAAGGCCAAGCCTCCACTCAATCAGTAAGAGTGGTAGGACTAAAACATCTAGCACTGCAGGACCACTTTTTTTTTTTACTTCATGGAACTGTGTGTTGACATTTTTAAGCTATAATTTTTCTTTATTGCTATTGTGTTTCATTTACAACAATCTAACTCCGGAATAGTCATAAATGTTTCAGTTTTAAACACTAGATATGGGTACTTCAGATTTTAAGTACATAGCTAGTTTTGTGTGTATCTTTTTCCTCCTTCTCTCTCCAGGAAACACACGAGGAGCATGATACTTCTACTGAAAATGCAGATGATTCTAACCATGATCCTCAGTTTGAGCCCATAGTTTCACTTCCTGAGCAAGAAATAAAAACTCTGGAAGAGGATGAGGAAGAACTCTTTAAGATGTAAGTGAAATACTTCTGTATATTATCTAAATGTTTATTAGGCTTAAGCCTTAATGTGTTTATAAAAAGCTAGATAACTTGTTAGGAGTCTCTGTATGAAGTGGTAATCCAAGTTGGTTGGTATTTACTGTGGTGGCAGAAACTGAGGAGGGGGGAATGACTGAGTATAAAACAAGTATCTTGGGGGAAAACATTACTTCTGTAGTGTTGCTGCCATGCATCCTCGGTTGTAAAGGGTGATCTGTGATAGATGCAGTACAAGATTGAGGCATTTGTGGCAGCACCTTTCTGTTGTCTTAAACATAGCTTTATCCTTAGATTTGGCTTATTGTCAAATCAGGATAGCTTGCTTAAGATGTATGATCTGCCTGAAGAAACATGTAGGCTAAAGGCTCAATAAGTATTTTGGATTTGATCCATAATGTGATGGCTTCAAATAGGTTTTAAGCATACTGCTTTTACTTAATCACAGAAGGGTATTGTTCATCTGGAAGACAGATTTGAGTTCTTCTTATACAGATTCTGGTAAAAACTAAAGCGATGGTTTCTGACCATTAGGCCTCTCTGCAGGTGTGATGTGCATAATCAGATAGAAAGAAGAGATTTGCTTATAAAAAAGGAAGGAAGCAAAATAATAGAGTAAATTGCAGTGTATGTTCATGTTTGTGCCTACAAAGGGATGAAGGAGAAAAGGAATCCTTTTTTTCAATGCCAGTTGCTCCAATAGCTAAACTTAGACGAATCACCCACTGAATGCCAGCTAGTCATAGAGTGAAGCACTTGCTTTGGACTAAAGTAGTTCACCTGTATCAGAGCATCTGTTAAGAGTAGCTTGATCCAATATCTGACACCCTCTCTTGAAAGACCTGGCTTATTACAAGTCCCTATCCCTTCCTCTTTTATAGAAAAGTGTGTGTGTGTGTATATATATGTATCCTGTAGTATGAGCAGATGCTTCCTTTCCTATAGCAGTGTCTTAAGTTCCTCATTAGCAGAGCTCATACTGTCTCTTGGGTCACTTCTGACTAATGTCCCAAAATACTCCTGTTTCTCTTTTGGCACACTGGCATCTAGGAAGATTAAACAGTGATGTTCTGAAGCAGGTATGTTGCACTGCAGTGCAGCACTAAGCTTCCTTTATTCCTGATTTAGGAATAGCAACAACTAGGATTTTAGAGTTAAAAGGAAATTAGTAACTCTAGAGGGTGAGGCACTCTGTTAGCAGTTGATCAAACATTGGGCTTGGAATTATACAAGAGTCTTTCCTTAGTGTGAAGCTGCTTAATTTCTTAAATTAATAAATACTGTGGATTAGATGTAGTGATTGCATTCATAATAGTGTAAGAACTCTAGCTGTGACAAAACCTGTTAATTAGCTACCTTAACTTAAAAGGTTGCCTGCACCAAATATGTTTATCGTCCCCACGAATGTGCGTCCAGAGCCTGTTGAATTTTTAGTATAGCTATTATGTAATTTGCAATAGTTTGTCATTAAATTTGAATGTATCCTATCAGTTTCTAAATTTGTATGTTGAAGTAGAACAGGGGACCTTACAAAAGGATTTTTTCTTGTATGTGACTTAAAAAAAAAACACAACCAAAACAAAGGTACTATTCAGTCAAATGTGCTGTTTTGATAAATGCTTCTATGTGCAGGCTAACTTCTTAATTTCCCTGTTCTTTAAGGCGAGCAAAGCTGTTCCGATTTGCGTCTGAGAATGACCTTCCAGAATGGAAAGAACGAGGAACTGGTGATGTAAAACTCCTGAAGCACAAGGAGAAGGGAACAATTCGCCTCCTCATGAGGAGGGATAAAACCCTAAAAATCTGTGCAAACCATTATAGTATGTTATGCATTGCTGTACTTCTTATTTTTGTTTTTTAAAAAAGCTTGTAGAATTGTGCTTTGTAGATTAAGAGCTCAGTGGCTTTTTAGTAGCAGCTAGAGAAATACTATATTTATACAAATAAAGGCATGTGTATATACACACGTACAGATTTGTTAGATTATAAATATAGCTGTCTCTTGCTCTGCACACAAGGATGTAAGCATCAAAAACATGAGTGCTTTCCATTCATGAATGGGAGGAAGCTGTCGTTAGTTTTGGTGATTGCCTGCAAGGCTGAAGTTACAGTTGTTTTGTGTTTTGTTTTGTTATTTTTTTTCTTTAGACTGATAATGTTCTGAAGATACTTCAAAATTTAGCTGGGGTTGACAGGTATTATGTGATTGTTCCCAGTATGTGTGTGTGCTGGGGTTGGTTTAATGATTAATTGCGTGTAGGTAGTGTAGACCTTAATACTCTTGTATAAGAAATTAGTGTATGGTGGCTTTTTCATTAAAAGAATGAGAAATAAGGAGTCATGTAACAGTTCACTACTTTGAGCTAAATGTCTGAATTGGTAAAAGCAATTGGTTAACCATAGTGTTAGCAGATACTGAGGTGTAAAATTAATCTGTGGCTGCCTTTCTCTGCTTGTGAAGTAAATCGAAATGAACATGGTATAGTCAGCTAACTCATTCAGAAAGAATGTGTATTGTGAGCTGATGGAGCAGGAAAGGTTTGTTTCTTTGATCCTCTTTGAATAAAAATAAATATGGAAGGTCAAGACAGACTTGAAAGTCAATATAACTAGCAAAAAGTGGACTAACTTGGTAATATTCTGTTGCTTGCTTTGGTAATACTCAGTTTTTTGTATAAAAAGTATATACATTTAGATAACTTGAAATAACTCGTTTGAAGTAGCTTAATACAAGTAGGAAATCAGAAGCAATAATGCTTGTTTTCTTTGGGTAGATCTCTTCAGAAGATCAGACTACTCAGAGGACACAGGTGTTCTTGCTTAGTAAATGAAATGGCAAACATGAAAGCAGTGCAGTCACCAACCAGTGAGAACAAACCTTTTGTTTAGGAAGATAAATGTTGCACATATGCAAACCAGAATCAATAAATTTATAATACTTCTATCAAAAGTCTTTTACTTAGAAAAAAGTCCTTTCAGTATAGATTCCTTTTGAATTTATGCTCACAGAACTCTCTTCATTTTTGCAAAACATTACATGAAACAAAATGTAATTGGATCTCTAAATTTTAAAAAATGCAAGAAAACAAGTATGCTCTTCAGAAGTCTCCCAAACGAGACAAAGGATCCGGGGTCAGGGAAGAAAAAAAGCTGTGCTTAAACTTTGCATGTGTGTAGTGTATGAAGGCTTAGAGTAGTGCAAGAAGTAACATTCCAACTTCTCCAATCAGTCAGGTGAAGTAATTACAGGGTCTTGGAGGGAGAAGGCTCTTTTTACTGGATCCAGTTTAAATGGATTGAAAACGTGCTGTGTGCATCTTGCAGCACTGCAGAGCTCAATACCTTGTAGTAGAACTGTAAACTGATGAGATTTGATGAGTAATTGTAGGAATAATGCTTTTTTGAACTAATTTTTTAAAGCAATCCATTTTTGTGGTATTTAGTATTTTAAGTGTTTAAAAGAAGAATGAATGCTGTTTGTCTGTGTGCCTGTTCCTCTTAAACCATCTGACTGTCGTTCAGAGTTGTGCTTAGTGACATAGTATCTTTTATTATTGTATTCATCTGATTTAAACAAGAATTGAATCAAACCCTCACTACAGGGAATCTAGTATCTTTTATACAGTAATGGTCTTGCATCATTTTATTTGAGGACACAAGGAAAAATATATATGGGCACCACTGTCTTCTATTTATCCATAAGTACTTCTGTATAAAGTGCTTTACATGAGCTTTGCAGTCAGTTGTTAATAACATCTATGGAGGCCGATGTGGGAAACACTTACTATTGTGATTATGTACATCTTTTAATGCTTTCTTTTCAGTCACACCCTTAATGGAGCTGAGGCCTAATGCTGGGAGCGACAGGGCATGGGTCTGGAACACATATGCTGACTTTGCAGATGAAAGCCCCAAGCCTGAACTTCTGGCAATCCGATTTTTAAATGCAGAAAGTGAGTGGACTGGCACTGAATTTACAGTGATTGTATACTGTTACATTATGGTACATGTCTAAACACCACTGTAAACCACTGTTGTAGGTATGCTATATCTTACCACTGCATGGTAGTGTTAGCTAATCACTGCTCTCAGAGAAGTCAGTTAATCACTGGTTAAGTGATTGACAGACATATGCGTTGACAAACAGTGTAATAATTGGGTCTGCAGTATAGAGCGTTCTGCCTTAGGCACTTTTAAAATCGCTTTTAACTTAGGCCATTTCATGCAAGTGTAATGCCAATTAGAATAAAGGCAGTAATACATGGGTAGAGATTAATACTTGCAACTTGCATTCCTTTATATCAGGTGCTTAATTGTAGTTAAGATTATATTTTTGCGTTAGAAGCAAAAACCCGAGATTTCTGGTCCATCTGCATTATTGAGAACATCTCTGTTTGTTTGGTTTGAGTTTTTTGTTTGGTTTTTTATGAAGTATGTAGTGTTGTCTTTGTTTTGATTAAATGGCACACTCAGTGAAAAGTGCTAGTCAAGCCTGACTACTGTACTAGTTGGTGGGTTTTTCTGGAGTGACTACACTGACTAACACAACAGAAAGCAGGTCTGTCATTACATACGGATTAGCCAGTAGGTTTGAATGATAGTGTAGCTTTCCCAGCTCCTTAGGACTGAATCAAAAAAGGGTTTTTTTTTCTTGAAAAAGGCAGCAAAATAAAAGAGGGAAAATGTTACATTTCCTGCTTTACCATTTGCCACACAAGGTTAATGTGTTAGCCACCTCTTCTTTCTTCATGCTAGATGGCTAATAAAGTGGCTGTATATTTTAAAACTATATTTGCCTCTATCTGGGAAGACCTTATTATTGCTTGCTTGCTTCCTTTTCCTCAAGTCTCCAACACCATATTGTTTAACCAAATAAATCTTTGTGATCCACCTGCTTAGTTCTCTCTTCTTTCTTAATCAAATGTGAAATTAAAGGGTCTTGGTAACTATTTACTCATCTTTGAAAAGTCTTTCCCTTTCTGGTAGAGGTTGTTCAGCTTACTGAGTGTTTTGCCTTGAGGCAATAGTCCTTTGTGCCTGCTTACACTTTGCAGTACTGACTAGACAGATGATGGGTAAACAGACATAAGTATTCCCTTCAAGTATTTTTTGGTTTTGAGATGCTTGAAAAGGAATTGATAGAAAAAATTCCTGGACTAGTTTCATAGTGGCTTCTGAATTCCTGTGGGGCAGCAGTGACCTCCTGTGGTCAGTCAGGCCAAGTTGGCATGCTGGATTACCTTCTTTGTAGTTCTGGTGCTAAAGTACCTTGCCTGATCCACTTCTGTGTCTTGTTGATTTGTTACTTGTGTAGAAACATTATCACTTGCTCAACTGTTTGGAATGACTGTTAAATCAAATGTTGGCTTAGACCAAAACATAATGAAGGTTGTACTTCCTTAGCTGTTGTAATCAGGTATAGCTCAAGTCCAGGGCTTTGGGTATTGAATCTGAATGCTGTACTAAATGAAACAAGCTTTATCTTCTATACTTGGTGCTAATAGCCCTAAGTTATGGTAAGGATGTGGAGGTCTTCTAGGGTATAATGTAGCTGACAAGGATAGCAGTTCAAAGCTAATCTTCAGTCATTTGCATAGTTATATTAGCAATCTCTGACATCGTATTCTTATTCCTGTAGGCTGGGGACAGCTGGGAGTTGCAGTAACTACAAACCAGCTGTTTCTGGCATTGTTTTAAATATTTTTCAAAATAAAATGCTTTAACAGACATGCTAAAGAAAATGAACTGCTTCTGCACAAATATGTGATTCAAGAATTTTGCATAACATGTACGAGGTTTAAACTAGATTACTTTGTAAGTGCCTACAGATCTTGTTTACACGCAACTTCTTGTATTTTTACTCAAGATTGGAAGTATTAAATGTTGCAAGGAGGTGAAACTAATGAAAATATATTCTGTCTTTTCTGAAACAGATGCACAAAAATTCAAGGCAAAATTTGAAGAATGCAGGAATGAAGTAGACAAGAGAGCAAAGAAAGGTAAGTTAAGGTGTAGTACCATGCCACTTTTTCTAGCTGTTTAAGTGGGTAGCATCCTGGAGTATCATTGTTTCAGCAGGCTCACTCTGTACTGAACTGCAGTCTTCAGTTCAGGTGCTTTTTCCGTCTGCGAGAGCAATAGTTGACAGCAGTGCCAATTGCCTTCTTTCTTGTAGAAGGCTGTTTCAGTTGCTGTTGGGACATTGCTTTTGGGAAAGGCTACTAAAGGAGCATTTCTTGTTTATAGTACACAAATGAACTGTGAACATTGTAACCGCAGTGATATTTCCTTCTTCCAGTTCCTCTTCACAAATTCCACAAATGTGTAATTGTGCTAGTAGAATACTTAATTTTTATAGTCGTTAATGTGTATGAAGTTGTAGCATGTCTTCACAGGCCTCTATTTAATAGATGCATGCACTGCCTCATAGAATTGCCTATGTGACAATATATCTCACCATGTAAAGAAACACTTCCATCTTTCTAAAATACAGATTACTTGTGGTCTGCAGTCAACACTGCAAGATATTTTGATCAGAATTTTTCAGTCATAAGAACTTCCTGTTCTCCAGTTTCAAACTGGGGAACTTGCCATTTTTTTTTGTTTGGTTGTTTTTTTGTTTTGTTTTGTGGGTTTGTTTTTTTATTATGTTTAAGTTAGGCAAAGAACTTGAGACATTTACCTGACTGGATACTGTATGGACTTTCACTGGTAACAGCAAAGTTGACCAAATGTTACATGTTTCTCAGTCACTGTGATTAGACCCTCAGTGATTAAAATATGCAAGTGGTATTTCTTGAATTCTGACATCTGAGGTAGTTACCAAAGGAAAAGAAATAGAATGAATCACTGCAGTGTTCAGTGGAGAATTTATTTTCTTTTGTTATTATTCGAAATACCAGCTGTCTCTCCCTGCTCCCCTCACCCTCCCCTTCTCTACCCTTTACCCTGTAACAGGAAAATCCATTGCTGCCTCTATGTAACTTTTTTCCTAATCAATCTTTTAGCAGGCACAGACAAAAATGATAGTGCTGATAAAGTTGCTGAAAAACTAGAAGAGCTTTCTGTAAAGGAAGAGAGCAAAGATTCCGAGAAGAAAGAGACCAAGGAAAAAACTGAAGAAAAGCAATAAATCATCCTGGGCCTTGCAGAATTTCCTTTAGTTTTTCTTTCTTTCCTTTTTTTTTAATTTTTTACAAGGGACTTTATAAGGAACTGAATTCAATGTTCAGGTTGTTTTTTCTAAGCTTTTGCCCTTTTGAAGATGTCTTCAGAAAATCCATTCCCTGGTCATGAAAATGTACTGTGCTAACTTTCTTTTCCATAGTGGAAACACTTATTTATAGTCATCCAAAAGAGTGAATAAAACAAACCTGAAAACAGCATCAGAGGACAGAACTGAGTTTTCTGTATACTTTAAAGGCTTATGAATACACTTGTTTCTTTGGATTTGAGATACATATCATCATACCTGTGGATTAATTAGGTTAACAGACTTTAAAAACAGGGAAGATTAAGATTACACACGTTTCTTATATGGCTTCTAAAACGAATATAATGGATCTTTCACACTTTTTTGCTATGTGTTCCTGAGCAGGGAATGTGCCTGTGATTCTTGAAATGTAGTGGACTTCTGGAATCAGGCGATAGAGCATTCCTGACACACTTAAAGATGTTCCATCAGACAGTGAAAATAAAGGTGGGGGAGAAAAATGTATTACGTGAGACTTGGAAGTATCTTCCTCTTACAAAACAACATCTCTGCTGCCCCCCCAAATGTGTTGACATTACAAGTGTTGGACTCTAGCACAAAGTTGTTGCTGTGGTCCCAGATCTTCCATGATGTGCCACTTCCTGACTGAAGGTAGAAGCAGCCTCTTGTACTAGGGTGTATGGAACAGAATCTTAACTCTTTGAGTACCTTGCTATGGGATTCCCTATGTCAGCATATCTTAAAAGGTGCACTCTATCAGCTTTTTTTCAGGGCTCTGAATCTTGCATTGTTTTTACAACTTGGAGGGGCTCTGAACTTTTAAGGTGCATAGTGGGAGGCTGTCCATGTTGGAGAGAGGTAGTATGACATTCACTTCCGAACAGTTAATGACATTGTACACACCTGAGGGGCACTCTGCTTGTCAGAATAGGCAAATTGGTCGGATCTCTTCCCTGCAAGTGTTTTCAGTTTATCTGCTTTCAACTTAGTGCTAGTCAGTAGGAAAATATAGTAAGCAATAAAATCAACACAATTTTTAGGTCTGATATATTAATTGAATTCGTTTGTTAAGCACTAATACAAGGATAGTGTTAAGATAGTGATGGAATTCTGTAATGCTGTTTCCAAAATACAAAAAGTAGACAAAATTTGCTAAACTTTAAGACTGTGTAATGTTATCATTGGATAGCAAGACTTTGCTATCTTCATAAAGAAGCTTTCCAAGTAGCTCTGATTCTGCAGTCTACCTAAGGAAAATATATTTAAAAAACAAAATCTTGTCTTTTCACTTAGCACTGCCTTTTGATGCTACAATGAACTAGTCTTAAATCTAGAACGGTAATTAAGGTACTCCATTCAAACAAAGTAACTCCTTTGGTGTTGTGCATGTTCCCCTTGAAGTACAGCAAATGTTAAAAGCCAGTTAATTAACAAAGATGGTTGAAAGGCAAAATAAATGCCCTTTAGTGTTTCTGGTTTGGAAATAACAAGGCAAAGCTATTCTGAAATACTTAACATTTGAATGTAAAAGCCAAATATTTATCCGTGAGTAAATTGTGTAAATTCTCTGATCTGATAATGTCAAACAGTGTGTCTAAATTGATAGAGATGACATTTTAAAATTTCCAAATAAATTTAAATTTTCATTTAAAGGATTTGCTTTTTATTTAAAGAACTCTTACTGAGAATGCATTTTTAGCTTGCACGGGCAAAGTGATGAAGGCAGCAAAATGGGTGAGTTTGATTTCACTGTCAAACATTGTACAGAAAAAGGTAGGAAACACTTGAATGACTTAATTTGTCTTAATCTTAAAAATTGATGACTGCTGCTTAACTGTATTGCCTTCTCTCTGTCTTTACTTATTCTCGCATACTTAAATGATTTCAAGACATTTCCATTCCTGTTTAGATTAACTGATCCATGTTTACAGTTCATGGATTACAACCATCCTTAGTGCAAGTCTGCAATCTCAAAGAGCCAAGTTATGAGAGAGAGCACTAAGTAAAATAATTTCTCTGGATAGCATTTGGCTGAAGAACGTCTTAGTCTTCTGAACTAAAGGATGATTAGTCAGTGTCGCTTTAGAAGCCATAAGTGTGCTGCTCTACAAATTAAAAAGCAGTAAGTATTGGTAAAAATTTATCTCGGTGAAATAACTTTTTTTTTGGTCATTCTAATGATAAACTTTCCTGTGTGTAACGGGCTCCCAAGGGATGTCCTTGAAGTGTGTTTGTAGCTTACTGTATTCTGCGTATTCCGGAGTTCTAGCTGATGTCACATCGTCTTGTCCACCCCTGCCCAGGTCACAAAGTATTCATGCTTTCCTGCAGTCCTCACTGTTAACAGGTTTATTGAGATGATGGAACCTAAGCTGTCTTGTCAGGCAGTAGAGAATCTTAAAATAGTAACTTGGCTCAAAAATTGAAATAGTTCTTTGACAAGTGGTTCTCTGATAAAATAGTCTCCTGGATTTGTGGGCAACTACTAAAATGCGTCTGTTGCCTTATATTTGTTTCTGAAATGGCAGTAACTTCAGTGTGATTTAAATAGCTGAACCTGTTTTAAGGTATTGTGTCATAGTAAAGATGGATCATGCAGAAACCTTTCATTGTTCAGACAGTGCAGAAATTCACTGAATCCTTTTATGCACTTCATACAGGTGTGTTGAGAATTTGTCTCTAGCATTCTAGAGACAAATTGGATTCTAGGCTATTTGAACACCTGCAGGTGCATAGTGGCTACTTTCCCTCTTACTCCTAGTCAGACAAATTAACTCATGTTTAAATGTAGACTAAAATAATGGGGAATCCAGTTTTATTAATGCAGCTGGCTAGAGAATAAAGTCTTTTTGAGCACTTCTAACTTCAATGACAGCATTACTGAGAATATGGATGAATCTTACAGGAGGTACAAGTGAAGACTTTTAAGAGGCTTTAATACATTTTTTGATGAGAATGGAAGCAACAGTAGGATAAGTAAAGCATTGTCAGGTGCTAAGGTCTGCAATTTGTTCAAATTGCTTGCTTGCTTGAAGTGCACATAGTTGCTGTATAGCCAGGCTTAATAACCCAGCCTTTGTTGTTACTAATGGTTGTGTGTGCATTAAACGATGAACGAGTGATGGAAGAGCATCAAAATAGTATCTTCTTAACGTGTAGTTAAGGTCTTGAAAGACAGACTTAAGTTTTTTATTACAAAAATGAATTCAATATAGTTCTCTCTAAATCCCATGTTAATAATTTTGAAGACTACACTAACAGGTTTTTTTTCTCCAGGAATAAGCTTGTATTAGTGATACTAAATGTCTCATTCACAAATGACAAATACCCCAGTTTGCTGTATTCTGACACTGTAAATGATGATTTTTTTTTTCCTGTGTAATAAGGTAGCTTGTATCAAACACAAATTCTCTGTGATACCGAAACTCAGAAAATTAAAATTCTTCTCAACACTGTGCCGACATGAGAATGTTGTGAATCTTTATTTTTAGTACAACATGCTCAAGAAATACCTGGATGTAAAGGGCAAAAGTATGAGTTTGAATAGTTTTTTTTCAATTTTGTTACTAAGTGACTTGGAACTTGTTTAATTTTAAAATTTGCAGGATTTAACTGAGAAATTAAGAATTACCCTGTATGTATGCCTCCATCATTGAAAGAACTGGGATAGGTTTGTGCACAAGAGGAGGAGGGGTGGGGTTCATGGGTACACCACCTCTTTTCTCGCTTAGTATTCTGTGTAGATGTACGGGGAGGGTATTTGGCTCAGAAAGCATCTGCAGCCTGAGCAGTACTTCCCTGCTGATGGAGCACCTGCAGCCCAGACCAACTGTACCAGTTAGGAGTGTGGACTTCCCAGTTTGAGAGTCTGTCAGGTCCAGAAGGTGGATGCTGTGCGTTATGGCTGATGATGAGTCATGCTGAACTGACTTCTGCAACAGAAACGCTTTGCCTTATGCTGCTTCAACTCTCAATGCATTCCCTTGAATAACGTAATGAAAAAGTTAATGCTACTAGAAACTTAGTATCTGATTCAGACGTCAGAAGACTCAACCTGAGACTTATTAATACTGAATTACAACTGTGTAGAAATAAACTGTGGGGGAGATAACATAAACTGCCTCTTTTTTCCCCTTGATTTCCCTTACAGGTTACAGCTTTTTAACGCTGAGTACTACCTGTTCTGGCTAGTCCAGCTTCTTTCTAGCAATATGTGTTTTCTAAGCTTTCTAGGGTGAGATAATGTCTTAATTTTGATTAGCCAGACTAAGTGTTCTTAAGTTGCAGTGGTCTTGTCTATGTGTAAACTTGCACTAGTTCAGTGAATTAAGGTGTGTACAAGGGATTTTTTCATTTATTTTTACTTTTATGATGGTTTATTTAGGATTTATTTTAAAGGTTTTCCTAATGAGATTTAGCTAGAATTACTCTCTAAAATTAAAATAAGAGGAATTACAGTCTCTCACTAACCTTACCTGAATCTCTGATAACGAAAACTGACTGCAACAGATCAGAATTATTTTGCTTGATGAAGAAAAGTTTGAAGTAACCAGCTGTAGAGACTGGATTGTACATGCAAGTGATTTCTCAGGCTGTAGTTCATGTGATAACAAGGTGCTGTCACGTAAGCAGCTTAGGCAATTATATAGTAAGGAAATAATTCTTGAAGTTGTGAAAACTTGACAAGCTCAGGAGCAAAAAAAATGCTCCTTATTTAAGACTTGAATAGTTAGTATCTACAGTTATGCATCAGATTTATGACTGCTGGTGTATATTTCCAATGTGCAAATTTGAGTACAGAACATTTGTCCGCTTCTATCACATAAGACATTAACCACTGACTTAAGATCTGTTCGTATTTGGAAGACTTGTTTGTGCAACTCGTTTGCTATAGTCTCTTAGTGTAAATGCAACCTATATTAAATCCTTAAATAAATATTGTGGAAATCCTTTAAGAAGTAATGGTGAAGCTAGAGGTTGTGGGGTATAGTTTGCCTGTTATGCTTTTAACTGATATAATGATGAAGGTTTAAGTACAAACCGGGTGCTAGCACAGTTCTGGATTAGATGTCATGTACTGCAAACTATTTTGTGAAAGATGTCTGACTACTGCAGGTATTTAATGAATTTTATGTTAAACTTATTTTCAACTCTCAAGCTGGAGAT